ACATGAAGCACTGCACAGACTATACCTAAAGGGCCTCATTTATTAAAATATCTAAAGGATTCTGTCTCAGTCAGCCTCTCGCAGCAGCCAGATTATTCTATATTCGGAGAACATAATGGAGAATTTATTTGCTCAGGTTGGACTATTGCGTGGTTGAGACCATTCTTTGCTTAGATGTCTTAACCCTTTGAGGACCAAGGGACGTATTTGTCCCATGTTTTTAATTGCGTGTATCATCTGATTAAGAACTTAAAACTCTTTCTTTTTTTTGGCTTGAGTCAAAATATTAGTTCTTATCAACAAACAACAAATGGATCTAGCTTTTTGCCAATTATTTCATGAAATGGCTTAGTTACAGCAACTGAAGTGTACGAACTTTAAAAATAAAAAAATTGATTCTTTTGGCGTTCCAAAATCTTACGGTCCTCAAAGGGTTAATAAATGACACTCTGATATGAACCCCTGCATTTCTTTCATCAAACAAATCCCAATTCAGAATGCACACAGATAATTAATGCAGAATTAGATTGAATATTCCCCATACAGCATATTACCTTCTTGCAGACAACCAACAAATTGCACAGCTACCAACTCCAGCATTGAAAAAAAAAATTTTTTTTTTGCCTGCCTTTAACCATTACCTGCCATGGAAGCTAGCACAGAGCTATGTAGATGTTGCATGCGATTCTGGCAGTCGTTCGGTTAAGGCTGAATATTCACAATGCATAATAGCAAGGGAGGGGGACAGCGTAGCAGCGAGCCATCGTGACTGCCATGCACAAGGTGCAGAAAAAAAAACCCAAGATGCAGCGGTATGGTGAAACTGCCTTGGCCCTCTCCAAAACTTAATGGGCCATATAAATGGGCCTTGTGTTAGACCCCATTACTGAACCCTAATTAAAAAAAACAAAAAGGCAATTATGTAAACAGTTTCTTTGGAGAGAATAAGTGCAACTTAAAGCCAAGGCTGTAATGCAAAAAAAAAAAAATAAATAATAATAAAAATCCAGGCAAAGCCAGTGGGCTAGCTGGTTGTTGAGGGCAGCCAAAGCAGCGGTGGCTGGTGAAGGGAGCCTGGGAGTCCCATTTTTTATAAAAAGTACATCACTGTCTCCCAGCTGCCACTTGAATCCAAATGCTAGAAAGTAGTAAATACAAAGCATTCTGGCGCCTATTGTAACTCTTCCTGAGCTTTGTAACCGGAAGGCTTGTCAATGCCATCCTTCCCTCCTCCCTACTCAATGTTCCTCAGGCATCGAAAGGTGCAACCACATCATCAAACCTTTCTACAATGTTCTGTACAGAAGGCTACAATTGCAGCAAAAAAAATGTGGAAAGAGAAGAATCAACCACATTTTATTTAGAATCATAATTGACAGTTTATAAAGTCCTATTCCATTGTTACCTCTATTTTTGATATTACGCAACTTTGGTGCCATTTCAAATTTCATGGTCAACTCCCCCCCCCATTCCTCGTTATCAAGCATCAGCCTTTTCTCACCCTGTTGGAAAACTTCCTCAACAATTTCTACATATTTTAATTATTATGAAAAAACATCTTTAATTATGAACTGCCCACGAAGTATCAACATGTTATAAATGTCAATCTACTAGGATCTGCAGAAATACCTATTGCATGCACTTTAATTCTCTTTCCATGGAACAGTTAACATCTTTTTGCTTTGTCCATATCTTATTCCTTTTTAGTATTTGGAGCAGTTTTTTCTTTAAATCAAGCCCACAGAAAGGTTTTGAGAACTCCTTGGCCTCTTCCATCGCCCAAGGGCTTGCCTGCAGGATTTTGGAGACTATGGAAGGGACGCTGAATACTTTTATGCAGAGCAGTAGTGACACATACTCCTACTAAATGCCCTAGTTCTGGAAATACAAAAAGGGGTAGAAACTACATTTTTCTATAAAGCCAAGAAAGCTCGGTTACCATGTATGTAGCAAGGAATAGGAGTAGGGAAAAGGATAATTCTCCTCCCAGGGCCCTGAACCTAGTAAGCAAGCCACTGAACAATCAAACGGGCCAAACTCCTCCAAAACCCCCTCAAAGACCTGATGCTATTCAATTAGTGATGCTTATTGCAACATACTCCAGGAGAGGTTTAGTGACTCAAACATGCATTACTGTTTGCATGCCCAGCTCATTCATAAAATATGTTTGATACATTGAAGGTATCAAATTCACATCAAAAAGGGGTTATATCTACAACACAGTTCTTAAATTTGTTTACAAAAACGGAAGCCAAAATTTCATTTACAATATAGCATCTTTTGCTTGTGCCCCAGTTAGCAAAAAGGGCTTATGATATTTGCCCCCGAAGTTATCTAGGTATATACACATTCCTTGCATATATCATTAAAAAAAAAAAAAAGCCCTCGTTTATCTATTGCCTTTCCTTGGGATCGTATATGTGGCAAAATATTTTACAAGTTACAAAGTAGAATCGATTAACATTTTACAGCATATATTAAAAATATTGACTTATCTACATGATAGAAGTTGTCACTAGCACCCCCCAAGACCACAGAACAGTATAAGGCAACTGAGTTAATTGTGTATATACATTTCATAGTTTAAATACAACTTAAGCAGTTGGCATGCTGTGGTCAGAGTCAACTTGTTTCATGCAAAAGGCATCAGGGATACCAAAAAAAAAAAAGCACCAAAGTGACCACGGATCAGTAAAACTTTTTGTTTCGGGTCAGTTGGTCAGTAATTACACAGGTGTACTATAGGTTTGTTTGGCAGCTTGTAAAAAGAATTTATTTGGTAAAAAGAGAAAGTATTATTATGCATTCTTAGGTCTCTGGAGCTTGAATGTTCTCTCCTTATGCTAACTAAAGAAAATTCTATACAAAGAGAAACTTTTTCAAAATTAATATGCATTCTTAGGTCTCTGGAACTCGAATGTTCTCTCTTATACTAGCTAAAGAAAATTCTATACAAAGAGAAACATTTTCAAAATTAATATGCATTCTTGGGTCTCTGGAACTCGAATGTTGTCTCTTATACTAGCTAAAGAAAATTCTATACAAAGAGAAACTTTTTCAAAATTAATATGCATTCTTAGGTCTCTGGAACTCGAATGTTGTCTCTTATACTAGCTAAAGAAAATTCTATACAAAGAGAAACTTTTTCAAAATTAATATGCATTCTTAGGTCTCTGGAACTCGAATGTTGTCTCTAATGCTAACTAACAAAAATCCTATACAAAGAAAACTTTTCTGGAACTCGAATGTTCTCTCTTATACTAGCTAAAGAAAATTCTATACAAAGAGAAACATTTTCAAAATTAATATGCATTCTTGGGTCTCTGGAACTCGAATGTTGTCTCTTATACTAGCTAAAGAAAATTCTATACAAAGAGAAACTTTTCAAAATTAATATGCATTCTTAGGTCTCTGGAACTCGAATGTTGTCTCTTATACTAGCTAAAGAAAATTCTATACAAAGAGAAACTTTTTCAAAATTAATATGCATTCTTAGGTCTCTGGAACTCGAATGTTGTCTCTAATGCTAACTAACAAAAATCCTATACAAAGAGAAACTTTTTGAAAAGACTTGACGACTTGAAAAGGAAACTTTGGAGGTTTCTATTGTTCTGTACACAGAAAGAAGAGTCCATGGTATTAAATGAGGGTTTTGGGTTTTACCAAATCTCAAAAGACAAACAAAAAATTGTATTGATTTTCTCTCTCTATTCTTCCACTACAAATAACTATTTACATTCAAAAAGGGTGTCTGATCAGAGTGTAGTACCAGCAGCCAAAGTGGATGCTGGTGGACTACATCTTCCATCTTTGGTGTTCTCTACGTGTTCCTTTAGTTTTTCATCTCTATTGTTCCCTTTAATGAGTATCTGAAGCTGCTTCTTCGGAGCTGACTGCTTCCATATAAGTAAACAGGCCTCCAAGCTGCTATAGGACAACTCAACCTTCAATATTCAGGGAGGTCTAAGGAAGACATCAAGAAACCAAAAAAGGCATTTCATGAATCTGTGCTAACTGCAGTCCCTGACATTACAAAATTGTTTATGAATTGTGTTTGAATATATGCAAAATGTGTAAAATCTTTAGACACGTGAAGAAAGACTGTGTGAGGAAACACCATTATACAAAGAAGGAAGATGAGTGATCATGTTTTATATCACAAGCAGGATATTCTATATCTGCCATATCTAAACTTGTAAATAAAAAAAAAAAAAAAAAAAAAAAGACTGTACACCCACTAAGTGGAGAAGAATAGAAGTGTTAGTGCTCAATACCTAAGAGGATAGGTTGTGTACCTTTCTAAAAAGTATAGGTTAGAATAGAGATTTTTGAGGGCAGCTGTGCAATAGTGGGAGAACCACACACAGAAGAAAGAGATGGTGGGTACTGTGCAAACAAGAGACGTAGGGTGCTAAAAAGATTAACAAAAAAAAAAAGCAAAGTTTATACGAAACATGGGAATAAAAGGGTACAACATTCTGTATAGGGAATGGCCCTGTTTTATTAAACTTAAATTGCACTCAAGGCACCCTAAAGTGCGCATAAGGCATGCTAAAGAGTGTCCATTGGTCTTATTTTATGTCATTTTAGCATGTCTTAAGTGTTGTTAAGCTCACCAATTGCAGTCTAATAATACAAGACCATAGATATTATTCTTCAATAGGGAACATCTGAAAAAGTGATTTAAACACAAAGTAGGGATTGTGGTGTATGTAGCCTCAAACTTACTGCAAGCATGTTACCTTATAACAAGATACCGCTTTCCTGTGACTTGACTGATCAAGCCAGTCTCTGTTAATGGGCAGTTACTTGCCCTGGTTAAAATCAAGATACAACTGTTTGCCACAAAAAAAGACCCTTCTTACATTTGCTACCAAATCCCTGGATGTGGTTGCACCTTTGGAAGAGGAAGTAGATGAGGAGGCCCTTGTTTTGGGCGCATTACATTGGTGGCTTTTTGCCATTATCTACAGAAGTTCAGAAGAATTGCAGGCATTAGTCTATTTCCCGGATGGCCATCCCATCTCACCATAAGGTCCTTCCCCAGTGGCTGACCTAGGAGGCGGGCCACAGGGGGTACAGAGGTCAGAGTCTGTGTCGGACTCCCCCTCAGCAATGTAGGGACGGACCTTGCCGACGGGGCCGGGACCCGCCGCTGCCCCATTGTTCAAAACCTCCAGGTTCTCCTTGGACTGAGAGATGCTGAAACCACTAAAAGAACGCTCCAACTCTTCATGGTCCACAGACGGAATAGATATGGAGGTATCGCTATCTCTCAGGGCTGCGGTGTCTCGGTGTTTGGTGGATCCTTCTTCACCAGCTCCCAGTCTACTCCCTCCATAAGCAGAAAGTGAACGCTCATGCGATGGAGGAGGGGGAATCCTCACCATGGAATTCGGATCACCAACTGGAGATGAACCATGACTGTGTCGTTGATATGGCTGTTGCTGCTGCCATGAGGTGGATGGCGGGCAGTAGGGGGTAGACATTCCTTGGGCAGGTGGAGCACTAAAGTTTTTTTGGCCCACTGAGCTTGTGGAGCGGATAATCTTGGTGATGCAGCTGTTTTTATCTACAGGATCCCGGCTGTCTTCTGGGCTATGATATGGAGGAGCTGGCTCGCGATCCTTGGCTCCAAAGTAGGCCTCTGTCTCTGAAGGGGGAATTCCCATCCTCTGCATGTAGATGTTTACAAGAAAATCCAACTTCTTTTCCATGGAAAGCACCTGCGATAAATCACAGTGGTCAGGTATTCCAATCACTATGCTGACACACAGCACAACTTTGTCTAAGGTTTGGCATATTGAGTTCCAGAAGTTGTATTTTATCTGCATAACTTATAACACTAATTGCTGTTGTGTCTTAAAAGAGAAGTATGGCCAAAGCTTTTTGGCCATACTTCTCTTCTGCGTCCCAGGAGTGCAGTTATTTCTGCCCTCCTGTGACTATAACCCGCTGTCAGCTGACGTCACAGAGCCAGCCCAGGCTCTGCAGGGATCCCGACAATAATGTTGGGATTCACCCACATGCCTGACCAACAGCTAGCTGTATTTATACTGAGATTAAACTACACACAGGGGGACTCTATTTACTAATTAGGTGACTTCTGAAGGCAATTGGTTACCCTAGATTTTAGTTAGGGATATGAGAGTAAAGGGGGCTGACAACAAATGCATACCACACTTTTCAGATATTTATTTGTAACAAATGTTGAAAACCATTTATCATTTTCCTTCCACTTCACAATTATGTGCCACTTTGTGTCATAAAATCCCAATAAAATAAATTTACATTTTTGGTTGTAACATGACAAAATGTGGAAAATTTCAAGGGGTATGAATACTTTTTCAAGGCACTATAGGTCTCTCAAAGCAATCACAGGAGCGGATCACATGGGAGCTTACCTGCTTCTCCACTTTGCCCAAACGGCCCATCATACTGGGGTCCTCAGGCATTTCTGGCTCGGTTCCACCCTTGCTTCTGTCCTTTTCTGTGATGGAACCTCCTCTTCCAACAATCTGGTCCACTCTACCAGGAACACACAAAAAAAAAAAAATAACCCAGAAAGCCCAAAGGTTAGTCACCTTGTGCAGACAAGTCTGAATTACTCCTGCCCCACTGAAACAAGAGAATCTTCTCTTCTCTCAAAGAGAGACATGTACAATCTCAAATCAAGCATTAGCAGAGCCCTCTACACTAGAAGCCGCTATACCATCTACAAGGGCCTTAGCATTAATCTAACAAGATGAAGCCCAAAAACCAGTAGTATGAAACTCAAAAACATTCCCCAGGCAGCTGTGGAAGAGTCCTACAAGAGTTCAATGCTCATCAAGGTTGGAAAACATTTGTTTTTACTATAACCATTTAGATGTTACTTACTAGAGGGTAAACTCTGGTCCTTGAAGGCCTACAAGAGACCTGGTGTTTTTAGAAGACAATTATTTTGCTGGGTTGACCAGAGCTTACAAACATCACCATTTTCTATAAGTTACTGAAACCACAAAACTTTGAGCTCAAGGATCGAAGTCAAGGAGCTCTAGCAACTATTACTAACATGGCTTGGAGAACAAGATGTGAATAATGCTTTAACTCTTGTACAACCCTTCCAATGGCTGTCCTAGACCACATCATCTACAGAAAACATTCCCCCAATCTCTTTTCTACAGTTCATCATATCTGTCTCATAAATGCAGAGAGGCTCCCACAAGCCGGCATGACATGTGATGGGGACACGTGCACTTAATGATGAGTGGGTAGGGGTCCAAGATAGAAAGGACAAAGACAGACACAGTGACAGCAGAGAGGATGAGGTGGGGCCAGGATACTGCAAGGCAAAAAAGCAACAGCCTATGAGAAAAGCCTGCTCTACAGGCCTCAACTCACTTCATTTCACTATTAGGGCAATGAGGAGAGTCTCGTATCTTTCTTCACAGGACTTTTTGGTTATGTCAAAACCATCTATGGGGCATTAGAAACTAAAGCAAATTGGCAGTGTTCCACTGAAGTGATGGAATTAAACTCAACTACAGAGGGCCTGTCCTTATACTATACTTTGCCAGGGGATCCCAAAGTGAATTTGAGAATTGTGAAAAGCACCCAATGGCCACTGTATAGGGACAGTGGATTTTTGGACAACCTTGTCCAAGAACATTTACACACTGACCATTTTATCTCTATAGCTAATGCTGAACTACTTAATGCTCTGGGCAAGATAAAAACAAACACAGTACATCTCTGCAATACAGGCACATTTTCCATATTCTGTCTCATTACAAATGCTACAAGTGCAAGTTGATCTACCAGAAATCCAGTTAGCTCCTAATTTCCTGTTTAAGCTGACAGTGCTGCCTCTGCTGCACTAAAATGCTCCCATGCTAGACTACAGGACACCTCCCCTTCCACTCATTTACATAACATAGATGCGTAACTAAAACCTTCAGGGCCCTGGTGCGAGAAACCATGAAAGACCCCCAGACCCTGTCCTGTGCCCTCTCCATTGGTCCTGGGGTCACCCTACGGTGGCAGAAAGGCAGGGGCTGGTCGCAAAAGTGACCTTTGCAACCCTGGTAGTTCCGCCACTTACTTAACATAAGGAGGGTGTTCTGTGTTCAGCTTAAAGTAGAACTAAAAGGCAAAACTTTTTTTTATACTTTTAGATAGAGAAAGGGAGGGTTATAACTGCTGTCAAATTTTTTTTCCGCCATCTGTGTCCCATTCAGGGGCGGACTGACAACTCACTCATAGGGCCCCTGGGCAATAGGGTATCATGAGGCCCGTGTCCTTGCCAAAACTCAAAAAAGCCTATGAAAAAAGGTACCAGGGGCATCTCATGGGGCCCCTTACTGACCCCGGGCCCTCGGGCAGTGCCCGAGTTTCCAAATGGTCAGTCCGCCCCTGGTCCCATTGCAGACATTTCCCTTCAATTCCTGTCCCAAAGCCAAACAGGAAGTGAGAGGAAATTCCTTGGGGACCCCCTGGTCACCAGAACTAGTGTCTGCTGCAGGGGAGAGGAAGGAGTGCCAACAATGGCTAGGCTATTGGAACCTAATGGTGATGTCACAGCTCCTGGAATTCACAGCTGTTGTCAAGCGCTCCCTTACACAGAGCTGCAGGATCATGTATCAGGGCTGGGGCAGATTGACAATAGGCCAGTATAGCAGTTTCTTTATAGAGGTTAGACAGGATAGGTAAAAGAAGGGTGGAGGGAACATTTTAAAGAATGGTTATAGTTAGGGGTTTCTGCCACTTTAACAGCTCACTGGATTTCTAGCAGGATCAATCGGTAATTTTCTGAACATGAGGAAATGTGTATGTATTGTATATGGGTTTTTTTTTTTTTAATTTTGCCTAGACACATAATTTATCTGAAAAAAGTCATCACTGCAACTAAATCCTTCGACCTCACCAAAATATCACCAATGCAAGCCCAAAAACAGAAACCACCACAGCAGAGCTCTCCTACATCTGAACGCAGAAACCATTGAAGGATCTGCACGACTAATTGGTAGAACACAAAATACAACCTAAAATCTGCCTACATCCACTGATGGGTAAATGAGCAGATTAGAAGTGCAGGCTTTCAATGAAATCCAAACCTCTAATTTCATACCTGAATGGAGAGATGTGAGCTCACTTTTAATATGCTCAGCCTATAAAAGTCATCCTTATCTACATTCAACCGAAGAAAATCCTTGAAGGGAAACTGCAACAAAAAAGGACTTCGAAATAGCAAAAATAGATCTAATTATCTCTATTCTGAGCAGTTCCAGTGAGTCCCGTGCTATTCCGAGGTCCTTTGATATTGCAATCAGCCTCCACCACTACAGTGCCAACCATCCAAAGCAGTTTCAGGAAACCATTAAACTGCATGCATCATTCATTGGCCTTCATACATCCTTTTTAAGGTGTGCTCGTTGCAATTATAATTTTGCAGACAGAGCCAATATTTCAGCAAGCAACCCATCAATGCACTAGAAGCCAACACCATTAATCACTTTGCCATCAACATTTGGTGATGGCTGTGGTTCCTAGTGAATTAACAGGCCTAATGTTGGTCATGCCCATATCATTATCCATCCTCAGTTTAAAAAACAAACCAAAAAAAACACTTAAATGGCATGCTCCATACAGTTACCTATCCTTCAGGACCCCAAAACCCCATTAAGAGCAAACTGTCTTTTAGAAGAGTTAGCAGAAACATGGAACTACTGCTCAGTATCAGCCACGATGCCATCTTTGTCATGCTTCATTAGTCCACATGCGTGCATGCAAAAAAAGAACAAAAAAGGAACCCAGAGCCAAAATGAAAAGACTAGCAACAGATATAAAAAAAAAACCAAAAGATGCTCGTCTTCTCAATCTTATGGCAGCTCAGAAAAAAAAAAAACTAGCAAACCCCTTTCACCCATTTATGTGATGGGCACTTACCTTCTGCATGGGACACCTTGGCAAGGCAGGTGGTCCCTGGCCAGTTGGCTATGCTAAAATGGTGGTCACTTGTTATTTTCAGAATTGGGAGTCTGGGGAATGTGACTATGCCTGAAAACCTCTAATACAATTATACCGTATGTAGCATGTCTGCTATGGTTTGATTCACTAGTGAGAAAGAAGAGTGGTTGGAAACGTCTTGTGTTGGAGTGTAGATGGGGGTGTGGGGACGATCTCAATAGCTTCCTGTTTGTGATAATTGCGAGTCCACTGTTGAACAGGACAGATAGAAAAGTCATAGCAAGTTCAATGTTGAAGTGATTTCAAGAATAATGAAAGCACACCTTATCTTACACTGATGAGGGGCCGACATATCATTTTCAAATGACTCAGTACCCTACACAGTGCTAAAATCAGTCCTATCCAATAAACTGGACCATATCCCCTTCATCAGACTGTCCAATTCATCGTCACCGACCCTGTTCAGTACCAGTATGACTTCAAACAATGCTCATAGGTGGGATTACTTTTATATTTATTGACGTAATATTGGCAAATCATAAATACACAAGCTACAGTTATTGAGATACAATCAACACTCCGAAGAAGTCGCTGGCATCCCATTTTAACCACATAGAGAGAGGAAAGGGCACGATTCGCCCACTCCTCTATCCACCCAGAGCAACTACAGTCTCTGAGGTGGTGCTACATCAAGTGTCTGAGACCAGCAGAAAGTCACCCCGGATGTTCCAATTCAACTTATGGACTTCTTGCTGAACTCATCATCAGTATACACATGACACTCATTGCACCATATACCCCCCTTTTCTATCTATCCATCTCATTTTAACAAGTCTTAAAGGGCAACAGACATAACCCTACCTGAAGGCCACCCCTTGTAACACGTTTCACCCAGAAGGACTTGCTTAATCTTCGATTAAGATCTTCTGGGTGAAATGCATTGAGAGGCATAGCCTTCAGGTGGGGTTATGTCTGTTTTCATTTATGGCTGAATAAATTGAGATGCCAGCAACGCCATTGGAGCGTGAAGTATATGGAGCATGGATGGGTTCCTGAGATCAGCACCCAGCATCTGCAGTGAGCAGAGCCTTCCTAAAGAGTGGTTCTTTCTGAGATCTACATCTATGAAGATGTTTGCTGTTGTCTATGTGCAATCAGAACATAGAATTGAGATCCTGACAATGCTAAATCACATATCATCTGACACATCGGGGTTTATTTACTAAAGCTGGAGAGTCCAAAATCAGACTCCCTTCTGCATAGAAACCAATCAGCTTCTAACCTCAGCTTGTTCAATGAAGCTTTGGCTATGAAACCTGGAAGTTGATTGGTTTCTATGCAGAAGGGAGTCTGATTTTGGACTCTCCAGCTTTAGTAAATCTCCCCATCAAGTCTACTAAAACACTGGGATAGGATGTTAGGTTCAATAAAGAAGAAAATCCAGTGGATTTAGGTTTTTAATTATTAAAGAACCCTGCTCTATACATCTATCCTTTGGTTGCTATAGACAACCCGGGTACAGAACCCCTGGCTTAGAGTCTGTTTGGTCATACATCATGCACCTTATCAATGTTTCTGAATTATTAAAGATAATGTGGCACCTATGGGAAAACCTTTAAACCCTTGGAATATTGTATAGCATGTCCTTGGTGGGTTCCATATGAAAGACTTTTTTTGTAAGGCTTCGAAGATTGAATATTTAAGAAATAAATGCTATCCAGAGCTCTGGTTATATATGAAAGTTGTGTTCCTCTCTTCTTTTTTGATGTGGCAAAAGTACCGGTATCAGTTTTGATGGGAATAGCAGATGTCAGGAGTATCAACATTTGAGTGAAAGCTTGTGTTACTGATGAACATTTGGGGGACACCCAGTGCCAATCCAATCTTTATAGATACCTTAATGCTACCTGCAAGTAAAAACTCAATCCTGTGTTGTGTTGCTGCCAAAGGTTGGCCCAAAGTCAACATTCCCGCCATCACAAACCATGAGCTGAAAGGGGTTCACTTTAAGGAAAAAAAAGAATAATGAAAGAAAAAGCAGTCCAGACAAAGAGGCGTTTTGGTGAATCCTAACCTAGGAGAATATTGGGGAGATTCTTTGGTAGAGAGCACTGATCCTTTGGTAGGGTACTTCTTGTGCCGGGGTGTAGAAGGGGGTGGGGGACCCACAATCAAATCTATCCTGGCAAAGTAAATAGAAAAACAAAACACCAGCAAAGATGCATAATGAAGCAACGTGGGGAAAATTCAGGACGGTAAAACAAAAAAAAAAAAAAAAGAAGAATTGAAAGTGTCTGGAAATATATTCCAAATAGTTGAAATTCGGGGTATGAACAGCTGCAGAAACACCAGTCGACACTGGGATTGGCTGGGAACACTGGAATATATTTGCATGTATATATGTGGCAATATCCTGGGTGAAATATTGGATATAGGTCAACATATATTCCTATGGATCAAGGTGAGACACAGTGTGACAATATAGAGAAGGGAGTGTGCGTCATGATGAAGGTGTGGAATAAAAATACACAATAAGACACAAGAGAGACACAATTAGCCACAATAGTGTCAAATATGTATATGCTCATCAGGGTGCACTGGATGCTGAAACTGGCAATTGCTGGAACTGAATGGTAGCCCTTCAAAAAAGAGAAGAATTCCATCTCAAAGCCAATTTTGCTTGGAGACTGTATAACCAGAGGCCTCACATGGAAAGAATTTAAAGTGGTTACTAACCCCAAGTAGCCAGATACCATCCAAAACCAAAATGGAATTTAGATGCATCTTTGCTTCCAATAGCTTACAAAACATTTTTGTTGACCCAACCAAAACCTAGTTCCAACCTGACCATAGAAAGCAAAAAAGACTGCTCCAGTCAAATTGTACTGTTAGCTACTTCTAGGTATCTGCTCTGGAGAATATTTCAAACCATCACTAAGCTTGGGATTACAGTCACAGCCCCATCTGACTAGATACCTTGATCACTGAAGCACAGGCCAGCGCTGTATCTGGTACCTGCAAGTGGCTTGATCCATGAGTATCATGATGTTGACTTTCAAGGCATTTATCTACCATAGAGTTGAGTTGATTTGCAGATACAGGTTGGTATCTATGAAGCTTCTCATTTATGCAGGTCATAGTATATCTCAGCCTCTTTCAACCTTTCAAACACAGAGGAACCCTTAAAATGACTTTACAGTCTCAATGAATCCCTGCAAAAAATGACTATATCTAAAACTCATAATACATTAGTGTGATAGTCAGTGGGAAGAATGCTCCTTACACTTGTGGTCATTGACAACTAAACAGATCAATGGTGTCAATGGGAACTTAGAGGCAGAAACTTCCCATTGCTCAAGGAACCCCTAGCAACCTCTGAAGGAACACTAGAGATCTAAGGAACCCTGGTTGAGAAACCGTGATCCATACCATGGTTTCTCAACTAGGGTTCCTCCAGGGGTTGCTAGGGGTTCCTTGAGCAATGGGAAATTTCTGCCTCTAAGTTCCCACTGACACCAGTGATCTGTTTAGTTGTCTGTAAAGGAGTAATGCTTCCCAATGACCACAAGTGTAATGAGCATTCTTCCCCACTGATCATAACACTAATGTACCATGAGTTGTACCGATCTTACTTTTTAGCAGGGGTTCCCTGAGACTGGAAAGTTAATTTAAGGGGTCCTCTGTGTTAAATAGGTTGAGAAAGACTGGTATAGACAGTAATATTTAGTTACATTCAACTGGACTTCTTCTATAATGGGGAAGACATTTTGATGGTCTTCTAAGCAGCTTCCATAGTCCCTCTTTGATGAGCAGAAAAACCATTTCAACATTACAGAACTAGTCCAGTTGGATTGGAATACTACAGGCTATGTATGTTTGTGGTTCGGGTATGCAAATTTGACTTATACTTGTCTCTAGATCCCACCTGAAATGTATCTTACTACTTGACCAACGCAGAGCTAAAAGGACACCACTACCTGAGAAAATACTTAAAACAATGCTCTGGCCCTGTGGTCCCCAACCACTGGCTCAAAAGAGACAATGTCAGATTAATGAGACCACCTGTACCTTTCTGCAGCTGCTCAGTTCCAATCTATTGAATCCTTTACTTCTTGTGATGCTCAAATCAGGCAGTTGTTGCTTGGTTAAAAATATTTACCACTTGGGTAAGAATATTTTTTCACTAGATTATTACATATGTAGAGCAGCTCGCCTCAATGTGTCATTTTGGAACAAGACTTTTTAGCAGAGGTTGGGAAGTTCAGATCTAGCTTCAGGGACTAGAAGCTTGAACCGCCATCCCTATAAATAGGATTTAGTATCACTCTTCGCTTAAAGCAACTGGAAAATGTTGCCAACTCTGTTCCACCTTGAAAGCACAAAAAATTTGCAATCAGTTATTTGTTAGAAAATAAACCAGGATGAGCGCACCTGCAACTGAGAAAATTCATCAGCTGCTCCCTAGGCACTTCCTTTACTCTGCATAATAACGAGTATATTATGCACATAAACTATCTTATGAAATTACTGAATGGGACTAAATCTACAGTGATCAGCCAAATTTAGCGCTCACATTTATGTCTATAACTGGCTTCCATTAAATTGCCGACATTAATTTACAGGGTTTAATGCTCATTAGAAACCAACTTGAACAAAAAATGGTGAAAAAAGATGATACATAGGCTTTCAGCACTGGGAGATCGGGGGTTGCTTCTTTTTGGCTTTGAGCTCCCACCATGGAGAGTGATGTTCTACTCTATTGTTCTTCTCACATTACCCTCACTATAGCCCTCATACTTGACCACCATGTAACCCTAACTGTAACCTTGATACCCCTCCAACCTCAAGCCTAACCATTTCTTTTAATGGTCATATATACCTCTCTGTAATTGGCATTGAAGAAGACCTCATGCTGTAGGTCATACTATGTGTCAACATAGTACATGGGTACATTGATCGTCAGAGCCCCCTGACTGTCTAACTACCCTTAGGAGTTTCAGCACTGGGAGATCGGGGGTTGCTTCTTTTTGGCTTTGAGCTCCCACCATGGAGAGTGATGTTCTACTCTATTGTTCTTCTCACATTACCCTCACTATAGCCCTCATACTTGACCACCATGTAACCCTAAATGTAACCTTGGCACCCCTCCAACCTCAAGCCTAACCATTTCTTTTAATAGTCATATATACCTCTTTGTAATTGGCATTGAAGAAGACCCCATGCTGTAGGTCATACTATGTGTCAACATAGTACACGGGTACATTGATCGTCAGAGCCCCCTGACTGTCTAACTACCCTTAAGAGTATCCATAATGTTGGTTGAGGACATGTGACTTAACTTTTGTATTCCTTTATCTTTCAAGTTTAGAGGGTCATATACCTGTGTCGGCCTAGTTTCTACACACCTGTGCACCTTGATCCGCACAAACACAGAGAAAACAATGTGAAGAACTTGTTCTGACAAAGTTATGGAATGACTTCAATTTCTCTAACCTTCAGTGACTCAAATCTTTTTAGCAATGGATCAGTAAATAGTTTTGGGAGCTCTTCTTGAGAGACTTCCATGGTATCATCAGTGGAGCGCTGGCAAAAGGACAATTTCTTTAAACAGGGGCCCATAGCTTCTGTATGTACACAGCAGTGTCTGGTCACAGCATCTCTAGAATTATCTTAGCTATACCACCGGCTCTTATTGTGGGGAAATCTGGTTCATAAAGGGACGTAGACAGAATTCCATCTTGTTGTAGACATGAAGCTGGTGCTGTGAATCCACAAAGCTATCCTACAGTAGGATAAAGCTGTTTGGCCATCATGGCCACTACCTTGCCATTCTTTCCCATAATCCCTTTTAGTTAGTTACAAAGAGCTGGTACTGAAGTGCCAAAGGTCCCTCAAGTATAATTTGCCAACCCTCCACTGGGAATTATTTGAGGGGCAACAACTACAGCCAAGGGCCATCGAATTACACATTTTAAAACAGATACAGATACAATGATCTACTATCTCTAGGTATCTCAGAAGGAAATGTTAAACCAAAATAAGCGATAACAAGTCATTTGTTAAATTAAATGTGTCATTGTGATATCAAGGGTCACCAGCAATCAGTGTTCATGTGTATCTAATAACCGTGAGAGATCTGCTAAAGATGTCTTGCCTGGACTGGAGATTTTTGATACGGGCGAGCATGTCCAGATGTCCAGCAGAGTACTGTTCTATCACATCCATGACGTCGTACGGTCGTAAACTCTCCTTAAACTTCCGCTTGGACACCAGGAACCTCATGACACTGGGAAGGAAACATTGTACAATGGAAAACAATTATCCAATGACAACCAATCCACCAAAAAAAAGTCATGTTTTAGTCAGGTAGACCGATTTAACCATGTTCTTCTATTTATGTTGGGGATTCACATTGGAGATGTTGATGCAACTAAACCCAGCCAAGGACAGAATCAAATTTGGCCGATTCATGGAACTGACAAATTTTGATCCATGTATGGGCAGGATGGTTGTAGTGAAGTTGATCAATCGATCAATTTCAGTACAACCAGCCTTTTTTTTTTTTTTCTCGATCACTGCCAGCTGCTGTAGCCTCAAGCAGTGATCATTGTATTCTGATGGCTGGGTAACCTCCCGCTGTCAGAATACAAAAGATCTGTCAGAGGGATTCCCTCATCAATACTGATTGTGTTGATGGGGAAATCAAGCAATTTTCTTTTCTTCAGCTCTAGGTTGAAGGAAAGAATATTGGTTAATGTATAGCCTGTCTTAAGGAAGGAAGCCAAATGCAGGTCAAATGCACCAGTCATTGAATTCTGATGATCTCAGTAGTGTCTTTAAGGCATCTCAAATGAAAGCAGAATGCACATGAAAGCAAGCTGCATTTGACCATCAATACAAAACCAAAACCCAAGACCCCTCAGGGTACTTTAACCCAAATGCTGGTTTGTATTTTTTTATTTTCAGCGCTCCCCCCTACCCCATGTTGTTGGTGAGCAACAAACTTACCAAACCGCTCGAATGGACGCCTTTAGACCGGGGGTCCACTCTTCAGAAAGGAACTCACAATTACAGCTTCTGTTATCCTCAGGAATCTCCTCTCCAGGGAGACTGGCTTCTGGGGGGAGAGACCTCCCATCAATTAGATACAAACAATGGCCAATCAGACATATGAGGCAGCAGTCAAGCCACCATGCATTGTTCTATAAAATGACCAATACATAAATATGCACCTGCTGATATACAACAATGACCAGAAGATCTTACTACTAGAGGATCATTCTGTAGAACTATGATGACATAAACAATAAAGTTTATTCAGCCAAGCATGGAAAATAGAAGAGACTGTGGCACTGGGTGGGGTTGCAACATCCAAAAAAATTCTCATCCCAAGATGGGGGAGGCAGGAAGTGTTTTCTGTAACCACAGGGTGCCAATAGACATCCGAGTGCTCCTCAATACAACAATCATGTTGGACCATCATGTCATGTCAATAGGTACCCTTGGACAAGTCCATTTCAAATGCAAAGTAGAGGAGATGGTGGCAGAACTAACAAAACAGCTTTTCACACTAGTCATTCAGAATTAACCTCAGAAATTGAAGTAACTGAAATATGAGAGGCCTCATCTTGAGTAACCAGATATAAACTTTATCCATGGAACATGGGTGTCAGTGCAGATCAGAGCCCAACCAGTGGTCGAGACAACATAGACAGTTCCGTTTACAGACATCTTATAAATAACATTCTCATTATCTATATTTTCTAGTAAATGCAAACAATTAAAATTTGCTTCTTACAACCCTTTTATGCTTCCTATATCTCTTGGGGACTCCAATGATGAGCTCTCTATGTTTTAGTCCCTGTAAGTTCACCTTTTGATCGTTCACACCATCCTTAAGTTGCTCCTACTTCTTCAGTTGAGTTATCTCTAGTATATAATAAATAAAAAACCCAGCAGATAGGGTGGGAACCCCTTATATTGGCCACAACAGGTCTCAAGACCTCAAGCACAGGAATCTCAGCACCAATGTCTCCTAAAGATAATGGAAACCATTAGGTGGCATAACTCTCCACCATATTTATAAAAGCTGAAGAAAAAGTTGTCTGCTTTCTCACAATGACCAATCAGATCCCCTTTTTAACCGCCCAGAGAAGAAACCTGATGTAATAAATGGTTTTCCCTCTAAAAGGGATGCCCACCCAAGGAGCTTGGCAGCTGGTTCTGCTGAGTATCATACAATTGCCTTTGCCAACACCCTTTCCCCCACTTCCACCAACCTCATTGCCATTCAGGGTGGCCAAAATAGCTTTACAAATGGCAATTAATATTTGTTTTAGCCGGCACTCTCATGGTAGACGATGACTGACGCATAGAGACAGCCACATAATGATATGGATATTGGCAGCATGGCGGGCGAATTAATGGCTGGGAGGGAGAAACCTTCATTGGAGCTTGCTGGCATTTAGATAAGTTATAATGGGCATACATGGAGGCTGCAGTATGGCAGGTTTGCCATTGTGTCATCATTACCCTTTTCAGCCATATAACAGAGTGAGTGTATCCTGATTGTTGCCCAAATCATTTGGCAGGTTAAACAGGTACTATATATGTGTTCTCATTGGGAATGAGGTTGAAGGTGGCATTGATGATGTAAATTCACTGATGCAATACCCTCACCTTCAGAATTCTGCCGTGACGCCGATCCCTTGATGCGGAAGGCCTGGCGTGTCCTTCCCCGGTCTCCAAAGCTCCAGCTCTTGGGCACCTTACTAGGACTTTCCTCCATGCTTTGGTCAGCGCTGGGGGATCTGCGCACACCTTGGGACTGTGGAGAGCCTTTGCCTTTCGTGGCCACACCTCTGGGGCTGGAGAAGACCCGTTCCTTCAGACTGACTTTTTGACTGCTGCTAATTAAGGAGAAAAAAAAAAAAAAAGAGGAACTAACCAAAAGGCCAAATGCCCAAAATCAAAATCATTTAAATGAAGGATCAGCATGATGCGGCAAGGATGTCCAAACACAACTTACAACAAGGAACACAGATTGTCAACTAATTACCACCATTTCATTGGTCACCCTTTAAAAGGGTTATCCACTGCTCCTAACTTTAACCTATTGGCCTATACTATTTTACTATTTACTCTTCATTCCTTACTTCCGTGTGTCTAAGTCTTTTTTCCAGAAGAGTGATTATTGCCATTGGGATCTTAGGTGGGAGGCTAAGAAGAGCCATCAAGTCATCATCAGAACAGAACAAAGACTACTGTATATGAATACATAAAAGCAATACAAAGTACAGAAGGCCATGTACAGACACATTTCTGTCACCAGAAAATCTACATTCCCTTTAAGCCTATAAAGAAAGAATAAACAGCAGGAGGAAATTTATAGTGTACTTAGTGGCTATCCTAAATCTAGCCATTTGTAAATCCAAGGCTTGGTACAATGCCACTTGGGCATAGAACGACACCCCAACGTATCCCAGCATGCACCTATCCGGTGTGGAAAGATGACAGAATAAAGAATACACAAGCATGTATCTTTATATTATCTAAGATATAACGTGCCATGATGGCATTCACACACGCATAACATGGAGATACAAAGAATGGCGCATGCATGAGTACTGACATGTCCTTCTTTGTTAGCCCCGAGTCTACCGCAATTACCTTATATTCTCAAGGGTTCACTCACAGCCAGCAAGGCTAATATAGTGCTGGTTTGTGAAAGATAACATAATGATTGGTGAAGCGCTTATGCAGATAAACTCCCCGAAACTTTATCAGTCTGCCCACCACAGTGAAAGAAAAGCATGAACATGAGGGAAAGGGACTTGGTTACAGCAAAGTCTTAGAAGAGAGTTTATAGTAGATTATCCCTTTAGCATATGAATCCAGTGGCCTAAAGGACATCAGTGGGTAAAAACAGTAGGGATGTGCAAAGTTACAGGGCTTGCTGAGGGGGGTTACAAGACTTCCTGTAGGTAAAAATGGTCAAACCAAACAAAAACTACTTTCAAAACTGGCCTTATGCAAGATTCGGAATGCTCATCCTTAAGGTTTTGTCAAGGGAAGAATCTAATGGAGAGTAATGCTTACCTTACCCCACAGTCCCAGTGCCTGAATGTACTTAGGCGCCTCAACGTCATCATGTACAAATGCAGGACCACTGGTCCTACATTGTATGTAATGACATCAATGGAGGGGGGCAGCAACATGACAACAAGAAAAGTAGATTTAAAGGACAGGTCATCACAGCCGGGACCATTGTGGAAGACTGCGGGTCTGTGAATTAAGAAATTTCTCTTTAATAAACCATCTCATGAAAAGCAATGTTCTTCATCTGGGGGTCACCCTAGAGTTGAGCCTTATATTTTTCTAACTGTACAGGCTTTTAAAGGAAATATTTTATTTAGACTCAAGAGTTGACAGATCAAGGCCCCCCATGATGAGGAGATCTATCAGTTTTAATTAAAAGTCCTGACCTTGTTCCAGGGCTCTGTTTTTTTAAGCCTCCACAGCTGTAATTTTCCAAAAATTTAGTTTTCCAATTTTTCCATAATCATGTAGGGTTGGTGGTATTTAAAGCATTAGCAGTAGAGTGGTGGATAGTGAGTTGGGGGAAGGAACCAATATGATTTGAGGGGATTTTCTGTCTGAACTGAGGGAGTAAGTTGGGATATACAGTAAGGTTCCCAGAATATATGGTTCCAGTAGATACATCTAGCTTGCTTCCTCGGAATGCTAAACCCAGAGCTGATACAGAAAGAGTCAAAACTCTGTAATCCAATTTGTTCCAAACAAGAAAGAAATCCCAAAAGGCCAACCGGATACACCCCCGATCAACATTCTAAACTTTCTTTATCCAGAAGTGTCAACATTTCCTAGTGAATTCAGTCTCCTGGTTGAATTCTAAACTATTTTATATGATAGAGCGCAATAGGAGTAGCGAGGATACCATTTCTTAGGAATTTGAGATGGCCAGAGATGCCAACGCCCTCATCTGTATTGTAATCTAAATTATCACAGTAGACTGGCCCTCTAAAGATTGAAATCTCCCCCAAAAAACACACAAAAAACCCTGAAAATTACAACCAGCACCTTGAATTTCAATTAATGTATTGATCACGGTGAAATTTTAAGTTAGCAATTTTCAGCAGGGTGAAGCAAAGGTTACCATAAGTACTTGTAATATTAGTCCTGAAGCTGTGATGGTACGGATGGGTCCATGCACTGAAAAGCAGACAAGACATCACACCGTGGTGAAATGATGGCCTAAAGCAGGAAGATATATTATTATATTAAAGCCAATCTCCAGCCAAAATGTTTAATTTTGTTTTGGAAAGAATAGGTAAGGCTTAGAACCTCAGGTAGGTTTTCATAGCCATTGGTGACCCTGTTGGGGAGTTTGCTTCACTTCCTGTCAAGACAAGAAGTGATGGGTAATGTACCTAAAAGCATCAAAGACAAAAAACTATTTTAGTAGAGTAAGGAAGAATTGATTGCGGTCTGTGCCTTCCTGTGCCGTGACAACCACCCCCTCCATACTTTTGACCTGGTATCAGCAGGAAGGTAAAGGAGGGACTATTATTCAATGGGCTCTAAATTTTAAACTCTTCCATACTCCATTCATAACCAACATTTTTGGGCTAGAGTTTAGCTTTAAGTATTTAGCATTTGGTGAGGCAGCCAAGGGTAAAAAGAATTATGAGGATTTAAAGGGAGATTCCATGCTGTGTTCCAACAACCCAAATTACTAAATTTTTTAGATATTTTCAAAACCACGTAAAACTGCAACAAGATAGAAGCTGAATAACACAGCAAGTACCCAGATGTATTGTTATCTGCAAGCTCTGAACCATTGGCGGCTGCTATCCAGTTCCGTGTCACTTGCCCATCTCGGTCTGGAACATCCCAAGGCTATAAAAATGACAACCAGCTAAGAAACCGATTGTTTGCTGTCATGTGAGAGATAATAAACCACGATAATAAGGCCTTTTTGTCTCTGCCTATTTTATCATAAAAAGGTCAGCTATAATGTGGTGGTGGGAGAAGGTAAAGTTGGAAAAGAGATCTCCTCAAAACTCAAGAAGACCAATTCTTCTCTCTGCTAGATGTTTTGCTGTTAAGGCTGTGCAGTCCAGGCTATGGCAAAAGGATGGTTAGGACATTAGTTTTTGGGATCTTCCATTCAAATAGAGTTTCCGCAAATCATAAGGGTTGAATGCAATTTGGAGGGTGTGGGTGGATCCCAGTTTGGTCTACAACTGAGTAGAGCTTCTCTGGGTAGGCAGCTCTCAATTATGAAGGTACCTCCAGGTCTAGGAGGAGTAGGAGAAAAAAAGCCAATCTGCATAATCAATATCACATCTATTGTTCTCGTCTTTAACCCATCAACCTATCTCAACCATCAGCTCTCAATTATCATGGCACCTCCAGGTACTGTGGACCTGATCCAGGAGGAGTAAGAGAAACAAGCTGAGCTTCATCAACACTACCAAATTCACAGTTCTATTCTTTAATTGCACTGAGCCAAACTAACTCAACCAGCCCTGTGAACCCTGATGAAGAGGGGTACCCTACAGCATGGGTTGGCTTGTTTTCCTTGACCGTTATGGAAAATTACCAATTAGGACTCCAAATCAATGATGGAGACCTTTTTTTCTTCTACACAACCGGAATGGCTGTAGTCAGACGTATGGTACCCCAAAATGATGTTCCAGTGGAAGCCAATAAAGATATTGGTGCTATACAATGATTATCTTTGAACAATTTTGATAGGGAAAAAAAAAATTTAACTTAGCCCCGAATTTCTGGAAACTCTACTGAGCAGAGAAGATTCTGGGATAGTTAAGGGGGACAGTTGGAGGGTGCAGGACGTGCAGCTGGGAAGAAGGGGGTTCTTTCCCATACAGAGTCTCACGATACCTATTTTCCCCTGCGCAGCAATTGCAGATAATTTTCCCTTTACTGGAAATTAGGGAAGAGGGAAAAGTTAATGTCAAAGCCACAAATTAGAAAGGAGAAAAAAAAAGCTTGTTGCCCCTTCTGAGAAAAAAACTAGGTTAGGTAAAATAAAAGTAGATGTATATGTCTTATATCTCATATAATTCATAATGTAATAAAAGCCATTTTCAATCGTTTTAAATCTGCAGCTTATATTAAAATTATCTCTGGTGATCCTGCCATGAAGGTCCTCCCTTTCAAGGTGTTGTCACCCTGTCACGTGGGCTTCAGTTAGAGACTACAATAGGCTGTCACCATCTGGAAACCCATCTTGAGGAACTCCATGTGGGCCCTTCCTGTTATGGGTGACAACGCCCTGTCTTGTCTGCCAATGCATTGCCACCCAGTCCCATGGGTTTCAGATGGGAGAGACAAGTGGCCATTTCAACTCACATTATGCAAGCATGGTCCATTGTTGTCACCATCAGGGACACCCACCTGAGAAACACTACGAAGGCCCATCCTGTTATGGGTGTCCTGTGTGATAATGCATTGTAACCCAGTGACATGAGCTTTACATGGAGACTAGTGGCCAAATCAACACACCTTACACAGAAATGGTCCACTGTTGTCACTATCACGAAACTTGCCCTAAGAAATGCCATGTAGCCATTGCTGGAGCGCATGTAGACAGGAAGTGGTTGCAAAGAGGCTGCAGAACATACCCAGCACTACAACAAACGATTAAAAAAAGTGAAAGGTATTTTATGGAAGAAAAATTACAATTGTTTAGCAGACTAAATGTTCTTTAGTAAGGGGTTATATCTACAGTACTTTAACTCACAAAGGATTGGTGGTTGGGCTTACTTCACAATTAGTCCAGAAAGCAGACCAAAAGGTGTCATAAAGGCAATGGGCCCTCAGAACTGAAGACTTTAAAGGCATTGTCATACTCTGGCAGTGC